AGCTGCTGCCTCTATGTGGGCACTCACCAGAAGAGATGTGGCTTCGGAACACCAGTTTGGTTGCTAAACAAACCGGAGGTTCGTTCCCATCTCTAGTCTGGATTCTTCTGGGTGGCCTCCCCACCCTCCTCTCCATTTCAGTCTACTGCAGCACTGGAAGAAACCCAGCTGCTGAGCCTAATACAGTGGTGCCTCGCTTAACGAGCGCACCGTTTAACGACAAATTTGCATAGTGACACATTTTATGCGATCGCATTGCGATGATTTAATAGGGAAAACATCGCATTGCGATGATTGGTAAGCGTTTCGCTTACCGATCTTCGCATTGCAATGTTTTTTAAACAACTGATTGGTGGTTCCAAAATGGCCGCCGCATCCGCAGAATGGCCGCCTGCAGCGTTTTCGCGCCCTGCCCTCACTTACCGGGCAGCGAAAATGGCGGCCAGATCGAGGATTCCCCGCACAGCGGTGAGTTTTCGCCCCAATAGGAACACATTAAACCCGTTTTAATGTGTTCCTATGGGGTTCCCCCCCTCATAGCGATGAATCTACATAGCGACGTTAATCCTGGAACGGATTAACGTCGCTATGCGGAGCACCACTACTTAGTTTTCTGACATTTTCCCACCACTCCAATCTACCTTTTGTTTCTTGTTCCCTCCCAGTTAATGCTGGGTTAATCATGCGATTCTAGGCTGCTAAATTCCACCTCACCCACTCAGTCTCCCAGTGGTCCTCTAAAACAGAGGTCATCAACCCCCAGTCCACGCAGTGGTCTGTGGCCAAGACCGGGCCGGGCCACGGACACAGATCTCTGACCCACCCCAACAAGTGCTGTCATGTGCATGTGTATGAGCACATTCCATCCCCTGTGAGCGTGATGTGTGCATGAACGTGAAGTGCGCGTACACATGTTCTGCCCCCTGTGAGCGTGCTGTGCGCATGCACATGAGTCTCCCCGCAGGCATGACGTCCGTGAATAAGCTCCGCCCCCCTGTGGGCGTGCCATACACATCCAACCAGTCCGCAGTTAGGAAAAGGTTGGGGACCATTGTTCTAAAGAGGTATCTGTCTTGATAAACAAGACTGCAGAATACATTTACAGTCTAACAAAGCATGTAATTTCAGAATCTCTACTCACCAGTTCTAGTGAATTCCCTTGTGTGTTAGGCATTGGGGGCTAAGTTCTGGGATGTCGTCTCCATGGGATTGACAGTGGGCCAGCGGCTGGATTTTCCCAATCTCAAGCAAGATACCTAGTTCCTACCTACTCCTCCATCCATCGCACAATCTAGATTAGGGGCAAAAGCAAAAAGTGTGCAGTTTACATACCACCGCATAACACTTCAAGCACTCTGGGTGATTCACAATTTAATCATCATGTAGGTTATGCATTACACACACACGCGCACACACACACCTTTGGAAGGCTGTGTCAGCCATGAGCCTTTTGGGACTGAACTCAGGTTGTGAGCAGTCTCAATTGAAGTATTGCAGCATAACTGCTGCTCCCTGGGGCATATCTTTCTATAATGTGAGAATTCAGGTCTAATGAATATTTTCTTCTGGCCTCATCAGTTTCCAGATTACCCCAAACTGCACGCATGTGATATCAAACAGTCACTCTGTCTTTCTCCTCCACAGGGTGAATAGTAACAGAGTTTCCCCTGGATATCTCTGGCTGGGTTCCCTGGTTTATCTGAATAGCTGATGTGTAATATACGAGTGGAGAGCAGCTCTGCTAAAACGTCTTGGTTTTTGCCCTAGAGCAGGAGGCAGTGGAAGCCACAGCAGTACTGAAGGAAGTCACTGGTTTTCAGCTTTATTCAGGCTTCCTTTTCCTCACTCAGTTTAGAGTCTTTCTCTTCATTGTAAAAGAAATGCAGGTGAAGGCTTGCATCAGAACTCTGGTTCTTTGTGACCACATTTCTTGCTTAACTCACAAAGCAGGAAACAGTACTGTACTGTACAGTGGTGCCTCGCTTAACGATGTTAATTGGTTCCATTAAAAAAATCGTTATGTGAAAACATCGTTAAGTGAAACACCATTTCCCATAGGAATGCATTGAAAACCGGTTAATCCGTTCCAATTGGAACAGATTAATGCTTGCAATCATTAGCCCACCTCCTGAAACCTATGCAAACTTAATTTGGTGTTGTTCTGAGTCATTAATTTTTGGTGATTTTTTTTCTCTCTCATTGAAAAGCATTGGACCATCCGTCCAATGCTTTTCAATGAGAGAGAGAAAAAATCACCAAAAATTAACGAAGACTCAGAACAATACCAAATTAAGTTTGCATAGGTTTCAGGAGGTGGGCTAACGATTGCAAGCATTTAAAACAGCTTCCAAACATTGTAAGACACTTTTACAGGGGCGAAAAGGGAGATAGGAAAGAGCTTTAAAAGGGAAACTGAGATCAAAGAGCCCTTTCCGATCTCCCTTTTCGCTCCTGTAAAAGTGTCTTTTTGATCCGTTTAGCAATGTTTTATTAATCCAGAACGGATTAACGTCGCTATGCGGGGCACCACTGTATGTCAATTTCCTGGCCTGTTTCTGCAAAATGTGAAACTTGCTGCAAATACGACAGGAATTCCTAGATTTCTGTTGCCATGTGTTCAGTTACTTAGCCGCCTTGGTGCTAGCCACGGTCTGGTGGGCTGTACCTGTGGAACACAGTCCCTTCCAGAGAACGCTGGCATCTCTCTTTCTGGACTTCTTGCTTGGAGAACCCTGGACATTGGCTTCTCAGAGACACCCCACCACCGGCACCGCCCCCCTCACCCTTCAGCTCACTCTTGTCCCCTGCCAGGAGATCTTGGGAGTTTGGGCTTTCAGAAGAAGCTCTAATCCTTCATGGAGAATTGATCTGCAGAGGCCGGATACAAGCAGCTTAACCTCCATCCTTTGCCATCTGTTTAGTCTCTGTAGCTGAAAGCTTGTTGGGTGCCTCTGTGCGAGAGAGACACCAACTGGCAGCTGCTTGTGGCCGAGCAGCTGGCCAAAATATGTCACAATTGCGGGAGGAGAGCACAAGCTTGCTACAACTGTGGTGGGAATCAATCTCCCAGTTAGCTTAACAAGACTGTGTGCGTAGGACGGTGTTAAAGTTGACTAGGCACCGGGCCCTCAAAATACACAGTTTATGTTTAATATCTGCATTAAATCAGTAGCTAGATTGGTGGCTTGGTTAGCCCACTAAGGCATCTCCCTAATGCTTGTTCAGGGTCTAGGGATGAGCAAGTAGACGGGGCCATAGCAGTGGTGCAAAAAGCTATGAGGACGGTTGCCACGCCAAATTTATGTGGCTGCTACATTGGCAGTAGTGTATAAGGACTTGCTGAGGTCCGGAAACATGCTGTGACTTTCACCTTACTAAAATAGTCATGATCAGATATAGGTAATACTGAATCTTTGGTGCTAAAAGAACTTTGATACTCTCCTTCTTGTATGTATTACATGCCCTGTCCCAAAAATGTCAACATATTAGGAGGCTGACTAAAATCTTTTACTCCTTCCTTTTTACATAGATCTTCCTATACTTGGTAAGACATCCTGTCATTTGGGAGCTTTCAGAAATCATTCTTTCTGGGTAAAATGCTGAATCCTAGAGTCGTGGAATAGGAAGGGGTCTATAAGGCCATCAAGTCCACTCCCTGCTCAATGCAGGAATCCAAATCAAAGCAGATCTGGCAGAGGGTTGTTCAATTTTCCCCTGATCCAGTAAGTTTTCCTAGGAGATAGCCAGTGTGGTGTAGTGGATAGACTAGGATTCAGAAAGCCTGGGTTCAAATCTCCACTTGGCCAAGAAATCTCACTGGAGGAATGGAACCATTCCTTAAATAACTTGAAAGCCCTATAAGGGTCACTGTAAGTCAGTTCCAATTAGAACAACACATTTCCTGATGCAGTTTTCCTTCTATCTCCCCACCTTAAGTGGAGCAGGTTCTCCTATTTGAAGTTGTAATATATTGTTTGTTATAGGTGTATCCCAGTTTCTTGATAGAAAGTATGCACAGGGGAGAAAAGCTATCCAAAGCTCCAAGCTCATTTTCCTTACTTTTTAAAAAAGCATTCAAACAGTAAAAATCTCTTCTACGTTTCAAATACATCTGAGACCAAACAGGCAGGGAAAGGAGAAACACCGTTGTAGCGACTTTCTAGCTGTGTTCTGGATGTCCTGAGCTTTCTGAAAGTTTCTGTGTGTAATTTCTCAAGGTGAAGAATGGTAGCGGTGGCTGCCAGGCTTTCCAAAAAGACAACAACTTATCTAGCTTTACCAGTTTCCTGTTCAGAGACCATACAGAGGGAACTGGTTTGTGGCGAGAGATTTCTTAGCTTCTGAATTTTGGGGGGTTTAGCAGAATCAGTGGTCAGGATTTCAGCTGGACGGCCGTATGTTGAGAACCATTGTTCAGTGACCTAGTCCTGTGTTACCGTATATGAAAAAACTAAGATATATACCAATCTCTGCAGGCTGCATTATTCATTAGGGGACAGCCCATAAGCTTTCCTGGCACCAGACTGGAAATTAATCACAGGATATACATTATATCCATATGTGGTAGAGCAGAGGTAGGTGCCTTGGTGGCCAGTTTTAGGCTACCACTCCTATGATGCTTGGAAAACACCAGCTTCTTAGAGACTCTGCTATTATAAAGGAGTGACCCACACAGCGGATGAAAATCAATAATTAAAAAAAATCCTTCCAGCCTTCCACATTGTGATTTAAATTGTGATTTATTTATTTATTTTTTAAATCAAAATTTAAAATGTCAGAGAACTCTGATTTTTTAAAATTTAAACCATGATATAAATAATTTAATATTTGAATTGCAATTTAAATCTAATCCACCACCCTGGTGCCCCCCTTGTATTTCCTTCAGGAACAGTCAGACTTGTCTTCCTCACAAATACACGAGCTCCAACTGTTGCAGATCTATTCTCCCTCCTACCTCTGGCTCTCGTTTAAATCTTCCATTTCTGCTTCTCCCTTTGCAGTTCTGGGAAGTGATCAGTGATGAGCATGGAATTGACCCCACTGGAACCTATCATGGGGACAGTGATTTACAGCTGGATCGTATCAGTGTTTACTACAATGAAGCCACTGGTAAGTTACACTATACAGTATATTGTGAGCCTCCGTGATTCACACTACTCCAAGCTCAGGGCCACTTTCACCTTGGAAACTTTCCTTTGCAATGTTTTAGATTAGTACTGTTGCTTCTAGCCCTTGCTGCCAAGAGAATTTTTTAAAAAAATAAACGAGTGGGAGGAGGCAAGGCTCAAAATGGCACTTGAAAAGATGCTGCCTTCCTGAAATAATCCAGCAAACTGAACTCTTACGCTTCTGAAGTAGTGGTGAATGCCTAACTAAGCTAAATTCATGAGATCTAGGAGCTTGCATGGTTGAAAAACAACAACAGCACAACCAAGGTCTTTTCTGGGGTGGGATTGTCTTTCTGTTCTTCCAGTGTATCAAATCCTTGCTCCCTCCTTCCTTCTTAGGTGGCAAGTATGTCCCTCGTGCTATCTTGGTTGATCTGGAGCCGGGAACTATGGACTCCGTGAGGTCTGGACCTTTTGGGCAGATATTCCGACCAGACAATTTTGTATTTGGTAAGATGCGATCTCCCGTCTTTTGTTGCTTGTGTCTATGTTTAGTGGGAAAATGTACATGGGCTGTGAGCTTTAAACTAGCTTTGAATAGGTGATTTTCATAAATCATCGTGTTGGCTATTTATGTTGCTGTGGAAGGAAGGGAGGGAGGAATTAGGGTACTATAAGTAACAGCACACTTTAGTTGTTTCATGCTAGTGGATATCCTTAACAGCTTTCCACATTATGAGATTGTAGACCCTGGAAATGTTACATTTTTTTTGCACTCCAGCTTCTAAACTCTCCTAGCCATCGTGGGCCTCTAGAGAACTGTAATTGTAAGAAAATAACTTAAGCATGAGTGGGCAGACTAGGCAGTTCAGATGGTTGAGATCAGAAAAGGTAAGATAAGAGTGTATCCCTTCTTAACCAGGGCCTTAATAACTGATCTTGTAAGTTCGAGGTGGATCCATGTAACTCAGACAGGGTGTGGGAACCTAAGAAGCGTTGGACCATTCATACTGGAGGCACACAAATAGCTGGTCACCTTAGCCCCATGCTTTATGGTTTCTTTCCTACCTTCTCCTGCCTCATCCAGGCCAGAGTGGAGCTGGTAACAAGGTGTGGGAACCTAAGAAGCGTTGGACCATCCATACTGGAGGCACACAATGGCTGGTCACCTTAGCCCCATGCTTTATTGTTTTTGTCTCCTACCTTCTCCTGCCTCATTGGTGTGGGAACCTAAGAAGCGTTGGACCATTCATACTGGAGGCACACAAATAGCTGGTCACCTTAGCCCCATGCTTTATGGTTTCTTTCCTACCTTCTCCTGCCTCATCCAGGCCAGAGTGGAGCTGGTAACAACTGGGCCAAAGGTCACTATACGGAAGGCGCTGAGCTTGTGGATTCAGTCCTGGATGTAGTGAGGAAGGAAGCCGAGAGCTGCGATTGCCTGCAGGGTTTCCAGCTGACCCACTCTCTGGGTGGTGGAACCGGTTCAGGGATGGGAACCTTACTCATCAGCAAGATCCGGGAGGAATACCCCGACCGTATCATGAACACCTTCAGTGTGGTGCCATCTCCTAAAGTCTCTGATACCGTGGTTGAGCCATACAATGCCACCCTCTCGGTGCACCAGCTGGTGGAGAACACGGATGAGACCTACTGCATCGACAACGAGGCCCTCTATGACATCTGCTTCCGGACCCTCAAGCTCACAACTCCCACCTACGGCGATTTGAACCACCTGGTCTCGGCTACCATGAGCGGCGTGACCACCTGCCTCCGCTTCCCCGGTCAGTTGAACGCCGACCTCCGCAAGCTGGCGGTCAATATGGTCCCCTTCCCCCGGCTCCACTTCTTCATGCCTGGCTTCGCTCCCTTGACCAGTCGTGGCAGCCAACAGTATCGGGCCCTGACTGTGCCGGAGCTGACGCAGCAAGTTTTCGACGCCAAGAACATGATGGCCGCCTGCGACCCCCGCCATGGCCGCTACCTGACTGTGGCCGCCGTCTTCCGGGGCCGCATGTCCATGAAGGAAGTAGACGAGCAGATGCTGAACGTGCAGAACAAGAACAGCAGCTACTTCGTTGAGTGGATCCCCAACAACGTCAAAACCGCCGTGTGTGACATCCCTCCGCGAGGGCTCAAAATGGCCGTCACCTTCATCGGCAACAGCACAGCCATCCAGGAGCTCTTCAAGCGCATCTCCGAGCAATTCACAGCCATGTTCCGACGCAAGGCCTTCCTCCACTGGTACACAGGTGAGGGCATGGACGAGATGGAGTTCACAGAGGCAGAGAGCAACATGAACGACCTGGTCTCTGAATACCAGCAGTACCAGGACGCCACGGCTGAGGAAGAGGAGGATTTCGGTGAAGAGGCTGAAGAAGAAGCTTGAGGTTTTATCTGCTCCTGTTTAAAAAAAAAAGTTAAATAAATCCGCACAAAATAAAAATAAAAGAAAAATTGCATCTCCATGTTCTACTTCTTTTTTTTCCTTCTTAAGCTTAATCTGTCTTTCTTTACTCTTAAGCTCCTCTTACAGCGCAGTCTAAAGTTTGTCTCAGCTTTTCTATTCTTCTTGGTGGTGGTGGTGGTGGGTAGCTTATGGTTGATAACCAAGTTGGCCAGGGTGTGTCTCTCAAGAAGTCCACTCGGTGAGGTCACTGTGAAAGGAAGAGGTTCCCATGTCAAGGGCTGGAGAGGTATGGCCCTCCAGATGCTATTGGACTTCCACTACTCTCAGTCATAGCCAGGGAGTCAACGGGGAAGCATGATGGGACTTGTAGTTCAGCAACATTTGGAATGCCCCTGATTTCCTACTCTTATTTTCATCTGCTGGTTATCACCAAATTTATCAGACTCCAGAAGGATGGAATGAAAATTCTTTTCTCATCCTGGTCTTTAACACTAGCCGTCATTGAATGAAATGAGGGAAGGGAATAAGGTTGAGGGCCACTGATAACAAAAGCATGTGAGGAACGCTGGACAGATGGGACCAGCTGGACGTTAAGACTTCAGAACTGGTATGGTCCAAACAGAGCGGGTGCAAGATTGAGGACGGCTACCTTTTGGACCTCATACTATACATATATAAAGGCAACTGTCTTAAAATAGATTCATGCTCCTGAAATGTGTGTGCGCTTATTTCTGGGAAAAGGGGCCATGGGAGATAGAACAGATTTTAAACCAAATAAAATTGATTTAAGTGAAAGCTGGTTAAATGGGACAACATTCTAGGAGTGTACACAGATATCCGGGGCTGGTTTTGGTAATGCAAATTTACAGTAGGAAAATACTAAGTGTGCTGGTGTTCCTCTCTTCCTCAATTTTCCTCTGAAGTTTCTGTTCCTCTAGATGCCTGCACTCTATTCTCAGCTCTAAAGTAACTCAAAAGGGGAGGGGGGGCTATATGAAGGCCTGAGGGTCACTTCCCTGCTTCTGATTTTCTGCAAACGCTTAACAAAAGCCTGACAAGCTATTTTAAAACTTGTGTCCTATCTTCAAAAGCCTTGAAGTAAATAACGTTTTTGTCCCATGTGTTGCTTTCATTTGCTCCCTCCAGTTCTGTGTAATATTTGGAGATGGTGACTAGTCATAAGCAGAGAAATTGGGTATGTTCTGCTTCTAGAGGACCCGGTTCTTCAACCGGAGCCTCCCCTGGATGTGTTGGGTTGCACACCTATCCTCTCCAATCAGCATGCCCAAGTGGACATTGGGAATTGTAGTCTTGACAGATCTACCGGATTTCAGATAGGGGAGGCTAATGTGTGACCATTGTGTCTGATACATGTCTTCTGAGGGGAGTTGGAATGAACCAAAATAGTAGTCTGATAAAGAATTTCTGCATTTTCAGCCTCTTTAAGTATGAAAGCTGGTGCCAGGAATGAAAGTTCTCATTAAAATAGTTGGCTGCTTTTTAGATGTTTCCCCCCCCCCCAAAAAAAAAACCCAGAGGTGAAAACTTTCTGGAGGTATCCCTGATCTGAAAGGTCAGCAATAAGTGAAAAAGAGTTAATATTGACAAAGATAGTGTAGACTCCTTTTAACCTAAAATGACTTAGCTTTTAAAAAAAGGGAAAAAAAGAGTTTGTAACTCGAATCTAAGTTCGTAAGTCGAGTCCATATATTCCTATGAGAGCAGTTCATAAGTCGAAACGTTCGTATGTCGAGCCGTTCGTAAGTCGAGACCCCACTGTATTGACAAAGATCTGATAGTGTAGATAGTCAATGCATCTAGGAAAGAATTTTTAACAAAGCGTAAATTACACTTCATATCCAGTTTTAAATGACCAAGGTTTTTACTACTGTCTTCCTCTGATGCCGATGTAAACCAAGCAGCAGTATGGAGTAGTCTGTATGAAAATGTGAATGGTAGACGTATGTTGTATGAGGGAACTATGGAAGCAGTTTGGGGAGAAAAAGACAGTATTTGTCTCTTGTATTAGCCCAGACAGGGTGATGTTTTCAGACAGCGAAACACTCTCCTGTCTTTTCAAGTCTCCTGCTTTTTACCTCAGCTTCCCACTTCCACCACTTAACTCATTTTCCCCATATCTTTTCTTTTTTTAAAAAAATCCCTGCTTTTTCATATTGAAAAGATGTCTTGTGAACAAATAAAATGGTGTTTTTATGTTTTCTTCTGTGTGGACTGTTATCAATGTCCCTCTAGAGAATCTGGACTAAAAAAATATACAGGATCAGAAAAATGGATGTCACTTGTTCTCGTGCATCTTCCCACCTCCCATTTTTCTTCACAGCAACCCATGAGGTAAATTATATAGTGAATTGTGACTTGGCCATCACGGCAATGTTTTTGAGTTTCATGCCTGTGGGGAATTTGCCCCAGATTTTGGTAGAAGTCTGGATTCTGGCTCCTTCAAGTAGACTGGAAGCATCAGCAGCAAAAGTGAGAGGTGAGGGCATGGAGAGAGGAGAAAAGATGGAGCGTGCAGAGAACCAGAGGTTTTATGTGTCAAAATTCCATCTTAAGAGTGGTGGTTCTCACCCTGGCAGCTCTGCTGCAGCTCTGCTGGGCTGACAAGAAAAAGGGCAAGTGGAATAACAATAGGGCAGTAGTTCTTAGCCTTGGGTCCCTCGTATGTGTTCTTGGACTACAACTCCCAGAAATCCTGGCCAGCACTGCTAGTGATGAAGCCTTCTGGAAGTTTTAGCCGCAATAACATCTGGGAACCACTGCAAGAGGATAACTTTATATTACAGCAGACAACTATGGAAGTTCAGATGATGATGGGCTGCAACTCCCATCTGTCCTCGCCTGGATAGTCAAGGGTAAGGAATTCCAGACCTATTTCTGGAGGTCCCAAATGTCTTACACCTGACCTAGCTGTCATTTTAAATGCTCAAAGCAATTGTCCAAATCACTAAAGAAAGGGGATTGAGTTTTCCAGCTTAACTGGAATAGAGAATAATGAGACCTTATCACTCTTGAGTGTCTCATCAGTAAATTGGCCTTTACCTGCAATAAGTGTTGTATTCATCAGTCTGGTGCGAAGCAGTAAATGAAAAATGGCATGTTCTACCTTCTACGGGTAATATCTGAGATGATCTTTCCATGGGTGAAATGGCTCTGCTTGTATGTATGATTTTTGGGTCATTCCCCGTGCCATAACTGCCCCATTCACCACCACATCTTACCCCTCTGCATAGTGTTTCTCCATGGGTGAAATGGCTCTGCTTGTATGTGCCATTTTTGAGAAATTCCCTGTTCCATAACTGCCCCCATTCGCCACCACATCCTGCCCCTATGCATAGTATTTTCATGCAGACAATGGAGCAAGGAATTCTGCTTCGTCTAGTCCACACACTTACCTTGTTAATTCATTTATTACATTTCCATTCTGCTGCTTCTCCAGTGACCTTAGGGGTTGTGTCCATGGTTCTTCTAGTCCACACACTTACCTTGTTAATTCATTTCCCTGTATTACATTTCCATCCTGCCTCTTCTCCAGTGACCTTAAGGGTTGTGTTCCACTTTTATCTTCACAACAACCCTGTGAGGTAGATAAATGGCTAGTGTTTGGCCAAAGGTCACCCTGTGAGTTTCATGACAGAGTTAGGATTTTAGGCTTCTTTTTGATTCTAGTAACAAATACAAAGACACTCCTTTTAATGAGAATCAGTGTGGTATTGTGGACAGAATGCCAGGCTAGGAAGCAGGAAATCTCATGTTCAAATCCTGACTCGGCCATGGAAACTCTCTGGAAGGTGGTGATAGAAAACCACTCTGATTACCATTAGTCAGATGCAACTTGACATCACATAACTACTCCTTAAAAGGGAATCCTGCCAATAGCTGCCATTTACCAACAGAATAAGATAAATACAGTAATTAAAAAAGCAAGAATGTTTCCGCCTGAGGTAAACACTACAAGGGTCTGATGGAGGGAAGAGGTAAGTAAGACATGTTACAGATTGGAGGGTGGGGTGGGTGTCAAATGACATGTTTTACCAAGAAACCCATTACAACATCAGAGGTCTTTCAGAAGATGTGAAGAGTACCTTCCTTTCACAGTAGAATCCTATTTTTGCTCAACCCACTGCAGGCTGCTTTGTCTATGCAGTGTGAGTTCTTGATGGCTTCAGCATGACATGTGTATGCAAACATGCAAATAGAAGTCTGAATTTAATATGGACACAATTACACATTAAAAAGGCTGAACACTGGCATAAAAGATGTAACCAATACAATAGTGCCAAATATGCAGAATACATACCAGCTGGAATGTGCAAAAATGTCTTTGCCCATTTTTAGGATTAAATACTGCCTCATAAGGCGGTGGACTCCAATCTGTCCAATTAAAAGAATTTTAAAATAGACGAGTTGGAAGTACTGTGGCAGTGGGTCTGCTGCACTGGTTGAGCCAAATGATCTTTGAGATCCTTCCTAGCTCTGAAGGTGCAGCAGTGCACTTCCACCGGTGCCACCCTAATTAATACCATGGGCATTTGCGTTCTCTTCCTTGCTTCTCATTTGCTACCCATTCTGCCATACCCTGCCGGGAACTTATGAAGTCATATGGCTGCCCAAGGCAGAAAAGCAAATGCTCCCTCCCTACCCGCCCAGCACATTGTATAAAACCCAAAGCCAGCCAAATTGTTTTGATGCCTGAGGCAGAAACCTCGCCATACCCTGCTGGGAACTTATGAAGTCATATGGCTGCCCAAGGCAGAAAAGCAAATGCTCCCTCCCTACCCGCCCAGCACATTGTATAAAACCCAAAGCCAGCCAACTTGTTTTGATGCCTGAGGCAGAAACCTCTCTTGAACGTCTGTTCCCGTCTTGGTGGTAAACACACAATAATAAACATCTAACAATGCTGCCTTTTCATGACACCAAAATCCATGGCCTGGGGGTTACTGCCTCTGTGCCTAATGGCTTTACCACCTCCTCAATGCATGGTTGGTTACTATTTTTAGTAGTATCTCTTTATTTCAAAAACACTTGAAATATAGAGATTATACCTTGGATTACGGCCTTGTGGGCTGCAACTACCCAGTGTCGGGCAGATACATGCTGAGGCATAAGTAAGGAGTGACAAAGACACCCAATAATCCTGAAAAAGACCAAGGCGAAGATCATCCCTGCTATAGTACTTTCAGTTATGAGGTGTGAGTGGACAGGGTGATGTTTTCAGACAGCGAAACACTCTCCTGTCTTTTCAAGTCTCCTGCTTTTTACCTCAGCTTCCCACTTCCACCACTTAACTCATTTTCCCCATATCTTTTCTTTTTTTAAAAAAATCCCTGCTTTTTCATATTGAAAAGATGTCTTGTGAACAAATAAAATGGTGTTTTTATGTTTTCTTCTGTGTGGACTGTTATCAATGTCCCTCTAGAGAATCTGGACTAAAAAAATATACAGGATCAGAAAAATGGATGTCACTTGTTCTCGTGCATCTTCCCACCTCCCATTTTTCTTCACAGCAACCCATGAGGTAAATTATATAGTGAATTGTGACTTGGCCATCACGGCAATGTTTTTGAGTTTCATGCCTGTGGGGAATTTGCCCCAGATTTTGGTAGAAGTCTGGATTCTGGCTCCTTCAAGTAGACTGGAAGCATCAGCAGCAAAAGTGAGAGGTGAGGGCATGGAGAGAGGAGAAAAGATGGAGCGTGCAGAGAACCAGAGGTTTTATGTGTCAAAATTCCATCTTAAGAGTGGTGGTTCTCACCCTGGCAGCTCTGCTGCAGCTCTGCTGGGCTGACAAGAAAAAGGGCAAGTGGAATAACAATAGGGCAGTAGTTCTTAGCCTTGGGTCCCTCGTATGTGTTCTTGGACTACAACTCCCAGAAATCCTGGCCAGCACTGCTAGTGATGAAGCCTTCTGGAAGTTTTAGCCGCAATAACATCTGGGAACCACTGCAAGAGGATAACTTTATATTACAGCAGACAACTTTGGAAGTTCAGATGATGTTGGGCTGCAACTCCCATCTGTCCTCGCCTGGATAGTCAAGGGTAAGGAATTCCAGACCTACTTCTGGAGGTCCTAAATGTCCTACACCTGAGCTAGCTGTCATTTTAAATGCTCGAAGCAATTGTCCAAATCACTGAAGAAAGGGGATTGAGTTTTCCAGCTTAACTGGAATAGAGAATAATGAGACCTTATCACTCTTGAGTGTCTCATCAGTAAATTGGCCTTTACCTGCAATAAGTGTTGTATTCATCAGTCTGGTGCGAAGCAGTAAATGAAAAATGGCATGTTCTACCTTCTATGGGTAGAATCTGAGATGATCTTTCCATGGGTGAAATGGCTCTGCTTGTATGTATGATTTTTGGGTCATTCCCCGTGCCATAACTGCCCCATTCACCACCACATCTTACCCCTCTGCATAGTGTTTCCATGCAGACAATGGAGCAAGGAATTCTGCTTCATCTAGTCCACACACTTACCTTGTTAATTCATTTATTACAT